GACCCTGTCTCAAAAAAAATAAATAAAGTCAAGTAGGTGGCCAAAAATTACCTTTCTCTTTATTGTAGGTAGCTGAGACTGTGGAGTTACTGCTCGGGACTTGTGACCCTGCATTTTTCTTCTCCCACTCTGCCATCTGTAGCGATGGGCGAGGGTCTTGCCAACTGTGTGGATTTCCTCCAATATATAGGAGACTCTTTCCCCCTCTAGGGACTTTGCAACAGGTGCACGGGTTAAAGTACAATCTCCCCTGCCCCTGTGGAGGTGGGAGCTTCCATGACCTTTCTGAGTGAGAGAACGGATGAGTTACCAGAGTTCTAGGGCCCCTCTACAAGGGGCCCGTTATCTCCTTGATCCCGGTTAACCTTGGAGGACAAAGTCCTTTTTGTACCTATATCCTCATTGGCTTTGGCCTGTATGTTTTGTTGGTTGACCACTCAGAAGGAAGATTTTACCAGTCATTAAGGAGGAAATAATACATTTCAGTTTTAAATTTCATATAACAGACAAAGCTTAGATAAGTACGTTCTGGTGTTGTTATTACTCGATTCCACAAGTACTTCAATTTCTGGCAAACTCATCAGGAAACACAGTTATAATGTCACCAAGAACAAATATATATATTGAGAGACAGGGTTTCTCTGTGTAGCCCTGGCTGTCCTGGAACTTACTCTATAGACCAGGCTAGCCTTGAACTCACAGCCTGCCTCTGCCCCAGGTGCTGGGATTCAAGATGTGAGCCACCACCACACATCAGAAATCAAAAATTTTTTTTTCTTTTCTTTGGTTTTTTTTTGTTTTGTTTTGTTTTATTTTGTTTTTGTGTGTGTTTTTGTTTTTTGTGGTTTTTTTGTTTTGTTTTTTGTTTTTGTTTTTTGAGACAGGGTTTCTCTGTGTTTTTGGAGGCTGTCCCGAAACTAGCTCTTATAGATCAGGCTGGCCTCAAACTCACAGAGATCCACCTGCCTCTGCCTCCCGAGTGCTGGGATTAAAGGGGTTCACCACCACCACACAGCCAGAAATCCCTTTATTTTAAACTGAGAACAAAATTTTTAGTTTTAGACCAGTGCACTGAGTTTTAGTCTTGGTAAGTGTAAACAAAACAAAACAAAATCTGGCTATTTTGCCTTAGGACAAACTCTTATTTTACCATATAAAAATTCATCTTATCATGAGACAAAGCAACATAATAAGCTCATTTATAATTTGCTAAAAGAATTGAATCTAAGTCACATTCATAGCACTCATTTTGTGCTAGATACTGGTCTTGATACCTATTAGCCATCTGTCTCTGATTCAAGTTCCTGGAAAACAGGTTCCCAGCAACCCTGGCTATTTGATCCCCACTCAGAAATGTGCAGCCATGACCTTCTACTTTGTTATGATATGACTAACTACTGATTTTGGCTTCTATTACCTGCAGATAGTCAAGGGCTGTTTTAAGGTCACCTGCTGCCTAACCTTGGCAGAGCAGAACAGCTCTTTGTCTCCTACAGCTTGATTGTGCAGATAACAAGGACTTCCAGTGGTTTCCACCTTTAAAAGCCCTGCTTTCACTGGCCTCCAGGTTAGAGGCTGCGGCCCTGGTAGCAGATTTAATAAATTTGGCTAGTTGTAAATGAATTGAGTCTGAAGGTTTTTCTTTTCCTGATGGTCTCAAACTCTATAACAATGGAATAACTTAGTAACCTGTCTACATGTTGTGAAACTTTTAAAGTTCTTGTCTGTCCCTGGTTCTAGGCAGGCTGTAGAGCTGCTTAGATTTTTTTGGTGCTTTTATATTTTTTTTTATATTTTTTTTTATATTTTTCTCTTCTCAAGAGTCTAACAGTTACATTCCAGCAAGAGATGGTCAAGATAATAAAGTTTACAGTTACCTCAGATGGTGAACTTAGAATTTAGTGGAAAAGTAGAAGGGAAGATGAAATGTGCCAAAAATTCTTGTAAGTTAACTCTGTAATTACAACTTAGAGTACAAAAAACGCCTGCTCCCCTGAAGAACTGGGATATGACAAACTGCTGCTTTTGACCAGGGGGCAGAAGGGTAAGAAAAGAGAAAGAGATGATGTTCCATAGTACAACATGGACAGGAAGCTTGCAACTGGGATCATTGATGGCAGGCTGGAACAAGGTGAGATGCAGGGAAAGGAGCATGTGTCCGGATCATGCTGAGGTCTTCATTAGCCATCAGGAAGGAGAAGCAAGTCTTCTGAGAAGGGGCACTGCTTTTACTTGTTCCTTGAGTTACCTAATGTGAATGTTCCAAGCAAACATGTGTGAGAGAGTGTATGTGGCAAGGAGGGAGAGCAGATGGGAAGGGTTCTGCAAATGAGAAAAGTCAAAGGTGGAGAGGAAGGAACAAAGTTGCCTGGTAGAGGGGTGGCTGGTATTAGACAAGGTGGAGCATGTCCAAAGGAAGAGTTGTCATGGATGTCATATAGGGCTGAATTTGAGAAGGATAGGTTTGGGGGATGGAGAATAGATCCATGGATGATCACCTAAGAGGCATCCTTAAAAGGCAATGGGCACCACCTCCTGATGGTTTCCATGGTGAGATATAATCTCAGTGCATTGACTTGGCTGAGAGGTGCCTTAGACTAGGGTGTCTCCTGAAAATAAAGACTCTATCAGCTCACAGAAGTAAAACAATCATGCCTCAGCCATGTTAGTCCTGTTGGGCATCACCCCTCCAAGGGATGCTCACAAATCCAAAAGTACCACATGTCAGTTTTGAGGGAGAAAGTGAAACTCTGGTGACTCATAGTTCCCTGAGGTCAGGAAGTGTGATGAGGATGAGGGGGAAATGGCAGGCATAAATATCAATCTGGAGAGCAGCAGAAGCAAATGTCAGCACAGAAGGTGATGGAGAGGCAAAAAGAAAGCCACTGCAACCCTCTGTTGTTTCGCCAACTGTTATGAAAGTATTCCCGTTGTCTCTCAGGGACAAGCATCTGAGAATTTGCCTGCTGTGTGTTTGTCATTTTTGCAGTGTGTTTTCTTTCTTTAAAAACTAGCTTATTTTTTAAAGTTTCAATCTTTAATTTTTAAAGATTATTTTATTTCTGGGAACTGGAGAGATGGCTCAGAGGTTAAGACCAGTAACTGTTCTAGAGATCCTGAGTTCAGTTTCCAGCAAACACGTGGTGGCTCACAGCCATCTATAGTGAGACCTGGAGCCCTCTTCTGGCCTGCAGGCAAACGTTCAGACAGAACACAGTGTACATAATAAACAAACAAACAAACTTTACCCAAAAAAAAAAGAGTATTTTACATCATGAAAATGAGTGTCTTGCCTGCACCACATGCATACCTGGTACCCACAAAGGCCAGAGGGAGTGTCAGTTCTCATGGAACTGAAATTACAAACAATTGCCATGTGGATGCCAAGACTTGAAACAAGGTCCCCTGGAAAAGCAGCCAGTTCTCTTAACCCCTGTCTCTCTAGCCCTGTTTGTTTGTTTTTTGAGACAGGGTTTCTCTCTGGCTTTGGAGGCTATCCTGGAACTAGCTCTTGTAGACCAGGCTGGTCTTGAACTCACAGAGATCCGCCTGCCTCTGCCTCGCTAGTGCTGGGATTAAAGGTGTGTGCCACCACCGCCTGGCTATGTTTACTTTTAATTATGTGTATATGTGTGTTAATGTGTACTGAGTGCAGTACCTAAGGAGGTCAGAAGGGGGAATCAGCTCCTCTTAAGCTGGACTTAGAGACTATTGTGAGCTTCCTGACATGGGTGCTAGGAACCAAACTCAAGCCTTCTGCAAGACTGCCGAGCCTTTCCTCCAACCCCAGCACCTTTTCTTTATTGAATCTCTCCATCTGGTAAATTCCAGTCTGGTAAATACTTTTATCCTTGTGTGTGGTGGCTTGAAATAAAATGGTCCCCCAAAGGGGGTGGCACTGTTAGGAGGTGTGGCTTTGTCAGAGGAAGTGTGTTACTGTGGGGGTGGACTTTGAGTTCTACACTGAAGTTGCTCCCAGTGTCATAGACCATTTACTGTTACCTACAAGGTGTAGGACTCTCAGCTACTTCTCCAGCATCTCATCTGCTTGCATGCCACCATGTCTCACAGTTATGATAATGGACTGAACCTCTGAACTGTAAACAAGACACCACGATTAAATGTTTTCTTTATAACAGTTGCTATGGTCACGGGGTCTCTTAGCAGCAATAGACACCCTAACTAAAATATTGGGCTTTTGGCTCCCCATTCTTGGCACACCATCAAACCCAAACAAAGATGGTGGCATTGCCTGGGAAGGGCCAATCAGCACAAGCCAACAGCTGGAGCCCTGCCTGCAGTTTTGCCTCCTTGTGCCCCAGCATCCTCTGGTCTGGCCTGGCCTGAAGGCTCTGCTGTCCTCCACAGTGCATTTAACCACCTGAAGATTTTAAGCTGCTCCTCTTGGACCTCTGCTTGCCTCCTTTACAGGTTCTATGTAGATATGATTTCCCAGAAGGTGATATTAGATGCCAGTCATCTCTTACAACTGCAATGACCATTGTAAGTAAAACTTAAGTGTCAATGGTTCTGAAAAGTTTAAATCAGGTTACTGCAGACCCCGGCATCATCAGAAGTAGAAATGGACACGAAAGCAAAAGGCAGTTCTCAGACAAGGTTTTTATTAGGGGCTTTCACTTCAGAGGAAAAGGGGAAGAGCATGGAGATTTGGGAGGATGGGGTTGGGGGCTCTGTAGCTTCCTATCTTTTAAGTACATTAAGTTGGGAAGGCAATGCCACTCAGCATTCAGTGGGGACTTAAGTCAGTGGTGCCATCTTGATGACAGTATATTCTAGAAGGTTCATATATGCTGTAATGACTAATGTTGCTTATCAACTTGACTGCATCTAGAATTAATTAAAACCCAAGCAATTGGGCGTGCCTGGGAGAGATTTTTTTTTTTTTTTTTTTGGTGGAATTATTTGAGGTCAGAAGACCCACCCTAAACCTGGGCCACACCTTCTGATGGCAGCCTACATAAAAGGACACGGAAGGAGGCTTTGCTTTTTGTCTGCTTACCCATACTCTCACTGGCAAGTTCATCTCTCCTGTTCCTGGGGCATTCCTTTACTGGTATAGAACCTACTTCTTCAGGATTCCAACATAGCTCTCTAGTACCTCCCTGGGACTCTAGAACCAAATTCAGACAGCTGATACATTTGGTCTTGTGGACAACTCCTGGATCCTTGGCCTTTCCATCGGGAGAAAGCCGATTGGACTCATCAGACCACAGCCTGTAAGTCATTCTCATAACCCCCCTTTTTTACCACTTGCAGCTGCTTTGGCCAGAATTCGGGGTGCAGTCATCTCTGGGGAAATCCAGTCTTATAGGCCTTTGTTTTTTTTTTTTTTTTCAACTTCAGCTTCTAGAATGAGTATCCCACAAAGGCAAAAGCAGATTAACTGAAAACACAGAACCCTGAGCCCTGTTTGAATAGAAAATAGATGACAAACTCTCTGATAAGTTATTCTCCCCCATCTGTCACAAACAGACATACAAAAAAAATCATCATTCCTCAAAGCACACTTCCTCAAAGCTCCCTTCTACTTACTGTAACCCATGCACTCAGGGGTCACTGATGTCTTTTCTTCTTCTCAGTGGAGGGTGAACTGCTGACCTTCCAACCTCTGGGGATTCAGGGTCAGGACAGCCTGAGAAGGCCTAGGAGTGGCTCTCCCAGAAGACACCCCCAGTGGTAACTTGAAACAATTATTTGTTCTTAACTCCCCAGTCCCTAGAAAACATACCAATTTGCAAACATAGAGAAGCAGTTTTCTGAGAAACAGACCCCACTGGGGAAAAAGCGGGCCACCTATGCATCAGTCTTCAGACAAGTGTGAGCCACATTTCCCATTCCTTCCTTATCCACAGCTCTTAATACCCTCAAACACCAAGAGATGCCTAAGGAGCACCAAGAGATTGTGCTGGGGGGACCCCACATCTCTACTTCTGCAACAACCACCGTGGTCAACATGCCTGGTGAGATCTCCATGCCTGACCATGTGGTCTGGTCCCTGTTCAATGCACTCTTCATGAACTTCTGCTGCCTGGGTTTCATAGCCTATGCCTATTCTGTGAAGGTATTTTATGCGAATCTCAAGTTTGACTTGTTCCAATGGTTCCTGGGGTGTGTGGGGGCAGATCTTGGGTCACTGTGAGAGTTTATATATATCATCTTACATGAGTGTGTGTGTGTGTGTGTGTGTGTGTGTGTGTGTGTGTGTGTGTGTGTTGGGGGATATCTAGGTAATCACAAGGGAAAGCCTGGAGATCTCTAGGTCAGGGTATATGCTTTGAAGCCTAGAACCTTCCTGGTGCCTGGAAATGCCCCTTCACCCTGAAGACTAGGACTCCAGGCTGGGTAGAAAGTGCACAAGGGACTCACAGGAAACAGTGGGGTGAGTGGCCAGTGCTGGGTCTCTCTGGATAGTCTTGAGTGTGTGAAAGTGGAGGAAGTTCCCTGGCCTGAAAAGTAAAAGGGGATGCTGAGAAGATGATGGGAGAACTGAGTTAGAACACTTGTCTCTCACTTGACCGGCTCCAGGGCCTCAGATTGTCTGGTTTCCTCCAGTCTAGGGACAGGAAGATGGTGAGTGACATGACTGGGGCCCGGACCTACGCCTCCACTGCCAAGTACCTGAACATCTGCGCTGTGGTCTTCAGCATCATTATGTTCATTGTCACCATCATTGTTTATGTCAGCTTCTCCTAGAGTTCTCACGGATGGTAATGGATTGTGGAGCCTTCTAGTCCTGCCTGTGCTCCACTGTCTACAGCTGCCCCTTTACTCCACACATATGTGAGTGTTAACTCACACATCTGTTCACAGTGGATCCAATAAAGTGCATTGCTGACAACCGTGCTGTGACTCTGTTCCTGAACTAATATTGGTTTGAGCTTGTCCTGTGTCTTCCCAGTCTGAGGTCAGTAGGACATCCTCAACTTGTCATGTTTCTGGCCACCTGCAGTGGGCAATAGTTGACCAGACTTCTCAGTGTGTATGTTTGGGGGAGGGGGAGTAAGCTTTGCCCACTTAAGGCTCCATGTGTCCAGAATGCCTGTAAGTGATATCGAACAATGATCCAGGGAGTGGCCAGCCCACTGATGTGTTACCAGCTGAGGTTCCTATTCACCTCTCCAGATGAGCCACATCTCAGAGTTGAGACTCTGGGCTTCTGGTCTGAGCCCCGTCATAATGCACTGGGTTCTCTGATTGGAAACTCATCATCTCTTGCCCATCTCTCACCTTCTGGCTTCCTGCAACAACATGTATTTATTTCAGATTCTAGGGTGAGTGGTTTAGGATGGGGGCCACACAACACCCTTGTTACTTGATTTGGTGAACAGCAGGCAGAAAACCCAAAGGAAATTCTACAAGCTTATAGGGAGTCTGGACATCCTAGCTCCCCCTACCCTTGGTTGTGCAGTAGCATCCTTAGGCAGAGGGGCCTCTCAACTTCCCCTAATGGCTCTTGCCACAGACCAGACCCAGCCACATTCACACTTGCACCTCAAGTTTGCTAGTCCCTTGGAGTTCCCAGAGCAATGCTGCCTGTATCTGGATGGTGCCCTCTTAAAAGTATTTACTTTCAGTTCCCAAGGTCTATCCCTCGGCGTCTGCATAGCCTTTCCCAGAGTCTGTAAAACTTGGTCTCATACTCTGCAATTCCTTTTCTCCTAAGCCACCATAGTGGGTTTGAATGTACCCAGAATTCCTAGGGTAGCACAAGAGTCTAGGGTCCTCTTGGTGCCAATGTGGGAAGTGCTGCAGTGGATTCAGCCAGGGAGCAGGCCTGCTGTTAACAGGAAGGGGTGGGGAATACTTGGTGCAGAGTAAAAGAGCCCCTTACTTGACCAGGACTCAAACTTGTTTTCTATCTCTGACTTGCAGAGTAGATTGGCCCAGCATGAGAGTATAACCATCCCTGAGGGATCTAGTTACCCAACCTCCCTTGAGGCCCTGCAGATGAGAGGAAAAGTAGAAGGCAGGCTTCAGATGCACCACCCTCTACATTTAGGAACTCTGTTTCTTAGGCCAGCCAAACCCTAGTACTTTTCATGTTCCAGAAATTTCCTGTTCCTGAATTTTGACTTTATGGGAAAGAGCTGGTTAGGTATTCAGAAAGACTATTAAATAACTGAGGGCTAAATTATTCCACAGAAGAATAGCAGGAAGAGGGAAGGGTCTGGGGAACTTCTTGTGTAGGAACTCAAGTCATACCTCGACCCAGAGCCCCTTATTTAAGGTGGGGGTCCTGGGACCATTCCCTGGCATGGGAGGCTCCTCAGTGCTGAGGCTGGTCAACAGCTAGAACACTCAGAGTCATAGACATGCTCCACACAGCCATCCCCAGAGCACCCTTAAGCCTACACTCACTGTGTTTGTGCTGAAATTCATGGCCTGTCCTGGGCTGATCTGCCACAGGGGTGGGTTGAGGAGGGTGCTGCTGCTCCTTGTACGTCAGGGAAAGGAGGTATCTTCCAGCTCAGGCTCTAGATAATTCTGGCTGACTGAAGAGGGTCTATGTTGGGAGACTGGAAAATTCCAGTTACTTGGCTGAAGCCTGGGAGTTCCTAGAAGGCAGATATTTCCCTGCCAGTTGTGAGACAACCATCATTAAAGTGAAGCCTGCACGAGATGACAATATGGGGAACTCCAAATCTATCCCACAGAACCAGTGAGAGAACTTACTGAGTTAAAGGGCTGGAGAAATGATTCAGTGGTTAAGAGCATTCATTGCTCTTCCAAAAGATCTGAGTTCAATTCCCAGCCCTACAGGGCAGCTCACAACCATCTGTAACTCCAGTTCTAGGGGATCCAATACCTTTTCTGGTTTCCCTGGGCACCAGGCAGGCACATGGTACACAGACATACAGTGCAGGCAAAACACCCATACACATAAGATAAAATAAATCTAAAAACTCATTTTTTAAGAAAATCAAAATAAGAAGCCAGGTATGGTAATGCATGCCTTTAATCATAACACTCAGGAGAGAGAGGCAGGTGGGACTCTGAGTTCAAAGCCAGCCTAGTTTACATGGAGAGTTCTACAACAGCCAGGACTACAAAGAGCTGTTTCAAAAAAAAATAAATAAATAAAAATAAAAATATAAAAAGAAAGAAACAAAGAAAGAAAGAAACAAAAAAAGGGGGGGGGGGATATAAGTTCTTTTGTGGCAAAAGGCACAACAAATCATTTGCCAGTTTAACCAATTCAATAACTTCACATGGAGCTGACTTCCCACATTTCAGTACATGGAAGGATGGATGAGTGATTGGAAGACTCACCCAGTCCCCTGCTTTGGCAGCCATGACAGGCTGCAGAAAAGACCCAGCAAGACAAAGGCCCCTGACTCAGCAACTTGTGTTGAGTTTCCCACCTTGCCCCAATCACTAGGAAGCCAGATATCCTCCATGTAGCAAGGAACCAATCAGAAGTTAGCTGGTGGGCTTTGGATGAGCTTTAGGGCAACCATGGAGTACAGAGCATAGTAACCACCATAGGAGGACTTCTAAGCATAACAACCATTCCTGCAGGTACAGTTAGTTGACCAATCAACTCAGGACAGGTTGCCTAAGCTCGGAAGTGCATTAATCCTGAGTCTGTTGCAGATCCCAGACACTACCCTTGCTCTGTCCCAATAAATTCCTTGTCCCATGATCCCTTGGGGTCCTTCTCAATCCACCTGCTGTGTCAAAGATGGAAAGAGGACCCGAGTTAACTCATTAATTAATTAAAGATGTTTTGCTTTTGCCAAGTGGTGGTGGCACACACCTTTAGTCCCAGCAATCGGGAGCAGAGGCAGGCAGGTCTCTGTAAGTTTGAGACCAATCTGGTCTACAAGAGCTAGTTCCAGGACAGCCACAAAGAAACCCTGTCTTCAAACAAACAAACAGACAAGAGAGAGAGAGAATCAATAAATGTGAAGTGAGCAGAAATAGGAAAGGATTGGGGTGGGGGGGTTAAGCTCATCTTTTGACTCAGCCTCAGCAGAAATAAAAAAGGAAGCTGGCTTTTCCCACAGCAGCCCAGTGTTGAAACCTGACACTTCTCCATCCCACGCCCATCCCACCCACCCCACCCTGGCTATTCCCCTATGAGGCTGTAGCTATGTAGCATTGAACAACAGCTAACTGAAACACACGTAGGAAACAAAGCCTAATTGCCAAGGTAAACAAACAATAAAAGGGCAGAAGGAAACCCAAATACACCTGCAATTATATTCACTGTAAATTCCCGACACACCCCATTGAAAGGTTTTATAGCCTCAAAGCACAAAGCAGACTAAAAGGAACTGACAAAACCACAGAGAAACCCCACACACTGAATACAAATCACACAAAGCTACATAGAAACAACCTGAGAAAAAGGCACTAAAAGCAAAAATAAGAGTATAGCAGACCAAAATAAACAGTAAAAACTAGTTAGCTTTGACAAATAGGACCTTGTCACAACGTATTAAAATGGTTATCTTCTGTTTCAAGTAAAATAAAATGCATACACTAAATGAATGATGTAAATACATCTGTCATAGGATGTTCTAGACCAAAGTGAGATTAACATTTAAAAAAGACAACAGTAAGTAGATCGATAAAAGCAAAAACATAAATATGTATCAGTAGATTTCCATATGCCAGATATTATAGTAGCAGTCCAAAAGCAAATGAAAATTTGAATTGCATATAAATTATTTATGATCTTGTAAACAATGAAGTCAGAGAAAAATCACCCACCCAACTAATATAGTTGGAATATAAGATAAAGCTGCATGATGTGACTTGTAGGTAGACATTACTAGTACAGAAAGGCATGCACACATTTCCTTGTGTTGGTCAGTCTTCCGTTCCTGTCACAGATGTCAGAGCTTGGGTGTGGGTTCACGCAGGTCTGTGGAAAGAAGACTCAGAGACACTTTAAGAATGAACTTAGCCTTTTGAGGCTACAAGGGTCTTCGGCCTTGATGGACTGAAGCCTTTCCCCTTGCCCTGGGCGTTTTTATTTTTCCTCAATATTTATACTTAATCGGTTGTTTACCAACCATATGCTCAGAACAACTTGAATGAGGTTTCCAAAAAGACAATGCCAAGTGAATAGTACCAAAGTTTTCCGGGTTTCCTGAACCAAGTTTTGCATAGGCTTTGTATCCTTGGGAAATTCACAAAATTCACATGGGGGGAGGAGGAGCCTGAAAGGTGGGAGGCACCAAAAGGTATCTGCTCAACAAAGGATGGATCAGGACTAGGAGCTCTAGCTCTCCAGAGCTAGGCCACGTGCTGCCCAGCAAGGATTAAGGCTAGTTGCTATCATTCTGGTGCCAGGCCAGCAGGATTCTGCTACATGTTCCTATATCAAAATACCTGAGACCATTAACTAATGAAGAAAATGGTTTCTTTTGGTTATGGTCCTCAAGTTCCATCCAAGGTAAACATTTGCTTTGGGATCTGGCTAAAGTGATAAAACAATAAGAGCGGAGCAAATGCCAGTAAAGTCAGTGCTCACCAGTCCTCTGCAGACCACATCCCCAGTAAGATGAGCACTGCCCACTAGGACATGGGTCCCCTGATCCACCACCTCCCCCAAAGGCAAAGAAATTAAAAACCTATAGCGAATCCAGCTCTGATCATGAACTGCCTAAACAATATGTATGATGGTTAAATCTTCACTGTCAGCTTAACTGAATTTACGATCACCCATGGAAGCCTGAGTGGGTGTACCTGTGGAGTTTATTGGTTTGACAGAGTAGACCCTCCTTAAGCGTGGCGGCACCAGTCTACAAACTGGGGTCCCAGATTGAATACAAATGAGAGATTGCTGGACACCACCACTCTGCTCCCTGACTACTAGTAAAATGTGGCCC